TCCTTCTCTCTCTTTCTCTCAGGTTAAAGTGCCACAACAAATGCACCAAAGAAGCCCCACCCTGTCATCTCCTAATCATCCACCGAGGAGGTAAGTATTTAATGCTTGCTGCCCTGGGGTTGGGGGTGGGGTGGGGCTCCTGCAGGCCATCTGAGATGATAGCTGTCCCATCCAGGCCGATTCTGTATACCTCCTGACCCCCTGATACTTGCCTGTCTTTTTTCGTTCCCTGACACCCTTCTCCCTGGCATCTGTCTCCTCAGTCCACCCCTCATCTCTACTCTCCCTCTCTCTTGCCCCTATAACTGGTTTCTCTGATACTTTAGCTCCCAGATTCATTTACTCCTCTCTCAATCTTTCTCTTTTTTGTCTCCTAATTTCCACTCTCCTCTCTTGCCCTCAATCCCATTGCCTTTCCTTCCCACTAAATGGAGTGCTGGCTGAGCATTTTTCTATTATGTGCCCTTTGGACTCAATCAATGGACCTCGAAGAAGTGGGCATGGGGAGAGGTCTGGCTTGGACCTGTTGGTTTGGGCCATCTGTGTCCCCTGGCGCCCTTGAGTGTCTGGTCCAAGCTGCCCAGGCAGAGAGGTAACAGCTACCTCTGGGAGAGTCACTACCAGCTGTTCAAAAGCAAGACCGATTTAGATGGACAGAAAGACTAGAAAGAAAGACTTTTCCCTGCCTGCCAAAGGCTCCATAGGAGGCACTTACCTGAGAAGTCTTGCTGTCCAGCTTTCAAAACAGTTGGCCTGCTTCTTGGCCTGTTATCCCCAGACTCCAAAATCCAGTGTAATCCATCCACCAGTGGACTCTCTAGGTCGCTGCTGTTCAATACAGTAGCTACTACCACATCTACTTACATTTAGATTAATTAAACTGAAATGAAAATAGACATTGAATTGCTTAGTCACACCAGCCACATTTTAGGTGCTCAGTAGCCACATGTGGCCACCGTATTGCATCGTGCAGATAACAAACCCTTTCGCCATCACAGAAAATTCTACTAGACATCACTGGTCCACACCGTTGCTATTCAAAGTGTGGTCCAAGGACCAGCAACACCGGGGAGCTTGGTGCCCCATCCCTGACCCACTGGATCAGAACCTGCATTTCAGCAGGATCTGCAGCTGAATTCCTTTGGGGTTGAGAAGTGCTGCTCTGGAGCAGGAGTTGCAAACTCAGATGCCTCCCAGGGCCAAGCAAGCACCCTAACGAAGAGACATGGCCAGATGGGGCCACGCAATGTGGAGAGAGAGCGCACCCCGGCGCCGTCCAGAGGGGACAGCCACGCCAGCAGCTCTGACGACCTGCACTGCAGCTTTTCTCGTGTTTCAAAGAAAAGCCCAACTTGTTTTATGTGCCCTGTGCTCACTTTAAAACGTTAGCAACTTATTCAAAGTTTGGAAGTTCTTGCTGGCCCCCTCCCTGCCACTCCCCATCTATAGGTCAGATGAAGCTAAGGCTCCAACTTGGGGGTTAGCAACTTGCAAAGCGGAGACTGGGCTCCTTGTCCTCTCGCGACGCCCCTCCCAGCCCCTGGCCTCGGTCATGCCTACTCAGGGGAATCTGCCCTGTTCTAGAAGGAACCCAGGGGAAAGCCAAAGAAGGAGGCGAATGGCTGCCGAAAGTGCTGAGATGTGTCCCAGAGGCAGCGGGCCGTTGGTTTTCGATGATCTTTGCTTTGCTTCTCTCCACGAGGAGAGGAAATTGCAAGTAAAGGGAAATCTTCGTCTGTCTTCTCGGGCCCTGGCCCACCCCACACCCTCAGTTAAGAACCATCTGTCCCTTGAACAACTGTACGCACTTAGTGATGCTATTTTACACCCAAATTCTCTTGTTCTCAAACCACTGTCTTGGGTCAGCTTTGCTGGGGAAATCGCCTCCCACCAAATTCCCGTCTATAGTGGGTTCCTCTGGCGCCTGCCTCCCACCCCACGTGGGGACGTGACCAGCCTGCTTGAGGGTGACCCCCTCGCAGAGGTGGACACTAAAGAAGGGCCTCCTCCAACCCACCTTCACAGCCGTGTGCCCCCTTTGTGCATGCAAAGCAAATGGAACTTTCTAGAAGTCCACCAGATTTTTGCCACCCCCACCCCATCGTTAGTAGGAAGTTGGAAATATAGTCGGTTTCTATGGTGATGGCAGCTCAGGCTAAGCAGAGAAATTAAATCCCTGGGTCAGTCCAAAGCTCTTAACTTTTCCACTAACACCCGCATCCACCCCCGTAATAAAAAAAAACCCACCACCAACAAAAATCTAACAAGTAACACTACCAGGCATCAAATTTGAATTCAAGCTTCTCATTTGTGTCCCTCCCCGTGGTCCCTGTAAGTAGGAGAAATAACGGGCAGCAGGGAGAGGGGCTCAGGGGATGGGGTTCGGATCAGTAAGCGTTTATTTAGCACCAGCCGTGTGCCCAGAGCTCTGCGTGGCTTTGGGGCGATGCGGGGAAGGGAGGCTGGGAAAGCTGAGCCTTTCCCCCAGGGACCCGCGCTGGCCTTGATGAGGACAAATGCGCTTCCATGTGCGACAGGCTGCTCGGGCCTGAGAAATCCAAGTAGTGAAAGGTGATCCTAGCACGAAGGTTAGACAGGGCGGGCCTGGCGGCCGTAATGGGCTCGCCCGCTGATTGCAGACGCCGAGGAATCAGGAACCTCTTGTATTTCCAAGGAGGTTCAGTTCTGAATTGAGCACCAACGCGAAACGTTTGTGGTACTGAAAACAAACAAAACTCACAGCTTCAGCTTTATTATTATAATTTGTCATGGTCAAGTCATATATCGACAATAAAAAAAAACCCAACCACCATGGAGAGCTCCCGATGTCACTCCCGGGACGTGACGACTGTCATTTTTAGCAAATTCCCTTCCAGCCTTGGGGGTGGGCCTTGGAGGGGGACCTCTGAGCTCTGCTGCCCCAGAGCAACAGTCTAAAAGCCAAAGTGATACTTAAACTCCCCAATCGCTGTTTTTACCCCTACGGATCCAGCAAGGTTAGTCCGGACGGAGTCGGTCCCGTGTGACATCAACAACCCTCTGCGGAAGCCACCCCGGTATTCGGACCTGCACATCAGCCAGACGCTCCCCAAAACCAACAAAATCAACAAGGTGAGGCTGGGGTCCTGCCGGGTCGGGGATGCCAGGGCTGAGGCTGCGGGGGGGAGGTTCCAGGGCAGGCCTCGTGGAGCGACCTGGGGGCAGTGCCCTCACCTCCCAGCGCACCTGGGCTGTCCCCATTCTGTGTGGTTGCTGTTGGGCCAAGCGTGGGGGCCACCCAGCCACCAGGGGGGAGCGAATGTGCCAGGAAGCTGTCTAATTTAGGGAGCGGGCACGTGGACATGAGAATGAATGAGTGCGTTGAGGAGGGGACAGGTTCCTTAGTGGCCCAGACCCCGCGCTCTTTGCTCTGGGAGATGTTTCGCCATCTGCTGGGATTAGCTTTGCAGATGGTTCTGGGCTTTCTGACACATCTGTTGAATCAAACCTCGGAGGGACAGGGATCTATTTCTGAGCTCCTGCCGGAGACTGGGTGGACGGATACGAGCGGGGGCCCTGAGCTCCGAGCCACAGCCACTCTGCTTGACTTCCAGCTGATCCTCAGACGTGGGCCTCTCTGGGCATCTCTCTTTCCAATGTGGTCTGGAAATTTCCAGTGTGATTTCCATCTACACCCTTTGTTTGGTCTGCTGGTCGGACTGCACCAAAGCTATCCCAGGGATGCTTCTAGCCCCACAGTAGGAGGCAGATGTTGTGCATGCCCACAGGTGATTTCTCAAGCCCCATGACACCTCCACGCATGGTTTGAAAGTGGACAAAGTGTGGATCAGCCCGAGCGCATGGCAGGTCCTGCGCATCGCAGGACCCAGGTGAGCATCGCGACTTCTGTCTGGCACAGCCTCACTTCTCTGCACAAGGCTGCAGAGGGCATGGCCCCCTCCCCAGTCTATGCTTCACGCAGCAGCCGGAGTGAATCTTAATGAATGTAATTTAAATTGTGTCACCTCCGTTTCAAAAGCATTCGATAGCTTTTTAGTGCATCTAGAAAACAAATCAAACTCCTTACCGCAGCCTGCCAGGCAGTGCATAATCCGGTCCCTCCCTCCGTCTCTGACCTCCCTTTCCATGCCTCCCCAGCAAAGCCCACAGGTCCTTTTCCTCTCATGCTTTCCCCCACCATTTTTACTAGTAGATCTCAGCCATTCTCCATCTGGCTCCTTGTGGCATCATCTCAGCAGTTGAGAGCGTGGCCTCTAAAGTCAGGCAAACCTAGCAGCCAGCCTTGGCTTTCTCCACTTGCCGGCTGTAAGACTCTGGGCAAGTAACTGAATCTCTCGGAGCCTCACTTTTCCTGCATGCATGCAAATGGGTACGTTTCAGTTAGGCACTGCTGCATGAACACACCACCTCAAACTTAGTGGCGTGCCACAGCAACCCTTTAATTTTGCTCGTGGAGTCTGTGGGGCAGGGATCAAGAAGCGGTCCAGTGGGGATTGTTCATCTCCACTTCATAATATCCAGGGACACAACTGGGAAAACTCACGCAGTGGGGAGCTGGGATGATCTGGAACAGGGATTGGCAACTATGGCTTACAGGCCTAATTCAATTTACCACCTGTTTGTATAAATAAAATTGTATTGGAAAAAGCTACACTCTTATTGTCTGTGGCTATTTTCACCCTACAGTGGCAGAATTGAGTAGCTCCAAGAGAGACCACATGGCTCACAAAGCCTAATCGATTTACCGTCTGGCCATTTCAAGAAGATGTTTGCCAATCCCCGATCTAGAGGCCCCTTCATTCACAAATCTGGTACCTGGGCTGGGATGAGTCAAAGCCTGGGCTCTGTAGAAACTCAGCAGGAGCACCTATGAGTGGACCTGCCTTGTGGCTTGGGCTTCCTCACAGTGTGGCCTCCTCAGCTTGGTCTGGCTTCTTCCATGGCAGCTCAGGGTTTGAAGAGTGGCTGTTTCAGCAGACAAGGTGTAAGGTACATGGGCTTTTATAACCTGGCTTTGATTGTCTTGGCTTGCACTAGCCAAGGGTTGACGGTGACAGTTCTGTTGTATTCTTACTGAGAGAAGCAGTCGCAGCCTACTCAGATTCAAGGGGAGGACACGTTAGACTCCATCCTGTCGATGGGCAGAGTCCAGGGAATTTGTGGCCACGTTTTAAAATGTCTATGGTAGGTAATAAAAGCATCAACCTCAGAGAGTTGTGGTGATGAATGAAATAATCCACATTAAAAAGAATGTAATGCAGTTCCTTGGCACATGGTAAGTGTCCAGGAGATTCTAGCTGTTATCATCAGCTTAAATCTTGGGGCTTCTCATCAAAATTTCAGGCTGGGTGCACTTTCCTTTTGTTATTTGCAAAAGATGGAGGTCTCTAGGAGAGGGGATCCCCATCTCTGGAAGAAATGAGGGGGCTCACGTGGTGAGGCTTCTGGGAACGAACCGCATACTTATAACCCATCCTTTCCTTCGTCGCGTCTTGGGGATGAGATGCTCGGAGACATCTCGAAACCTCTCTAGCGCTGGCTTTGTAGGCACGATGCGCCTTTTGGTATCAGATGGGACAGAAACGGGTCAGATAGGTCAATTACTGTGACACTGTTCTGCTTGTCTGCCAGCGGGAGAATTTGATAAGAGAAATAAATTAACCTCTATTTAGAAAGTGGCTTTGACGTGAAGGTGGACAGGATCTATCATAGGGCTGGCTTCCCCTCCCCCCTTTCCCGTCTCACCGGCTTCACGCAGATTCTTTTTGTCAGGCAATGATGTGGTTACTGCAATAGATTTCCGAGCCAATTTGGTCTGAAGATTTCCTTTTCGTTGCCGCCTGTCTCCTCTCCTGTCTGGCTCAGTCAATCCAGGTTCACAGAAGCCCGGCTTTTTCGCTCAACATAATGGTTAGACTTTGCATTTTGGAGTCAGAAGGCTTGAAACTCGGTTCCTTCCCTCGCTGTGGGATCAGAGCAAGATCTCTCTGCCTTGTTGGTTTTTTTCCCCCTCCTATAAAATGAGAATTATCAGGAGATACTCTGATCGGGACTGTGGAAAGGACTGGATACGGCGATGTGGGTTAAGAATTTAGTCCAACACTGGGTGCTCGGGGCATGGAAATAGCCGGATGAAGAGGAACAGAGGGAGAATTTGCAGGCAGGAAGGGGGTGGAGGGAGGGGGGAAGAGGGAAGAGGTGGGCCCACCTCACCTGGATGGTCTCATCTCGAGACCCCTGTGTTAATTGCATCTGCAGAGACTTTTTTTTAAAAATATGTCTTTATTGATTTCAGAGAGAGGAAAGGAGAGGGAGAGAGAGAGATAGAAACATCAGTGAGGAGAGAGTCATTGATCAGCTGCCTCCTGCATGCCCCCGACTGGGGATCGAGCCCGCAACCCGGGCATGTGCCCTGCCTGGGACTCGAACCCCGATCCCTGGATCCTAGGTCGATGCTCAGCCGCCGAACCACGCCCGGCCGGGCAGAGACTTTTTAAAAACAAGGTCCCACTCTGAGGTTCCAGGTGGACATCTCTTTTGGGGAGCACTGTTCAGCCCCTCCACGGCTCCTGACCTCCCCCCAGGCCGCCCTGAGGGTGCACAGCGGGGCCCTCCCGCGCCCGTGCCTGGAGTGGCTGAGATGCGAGGGAGGCTCTGGAGGCTCTGGAGGCTCCTCGCGCCCTCTCTCCACCTGTCAGGCTGTTGATTCTTTAATAAACACTCAGGAGGAGAGGTGTCAGGATGGGAAGAGCACTCTGGGCACCTCAGCGTGGCACTTTCCAAAACCGAAGAGGCGCGGGGAGCGTGGCTGTCACCTACGTGGCCTGCATGACGCGCTAACCTTTCACTCTGGGGTCCAGACGGTGGACAGGAACTTGACTCCGATGCCGCTCCTTCCGAGGCTGAATGCAGCCTGGGGGGGGCGGCGAAGCAGGCGGGACGTGGGAGGGATCTGGGGGCTCAGGATGCTGGGGTGGGGTCTCTTCCTGCTCCGCTCACCCTCACCGCTGTGTCTCTGCTTTCCTGCCTGCCCCCTGCCCTGTTCTCTGTCTGCAGGACCACATCCCCGTCCCCTACCAGCCCGACTCCAGCAGCAACCCCTCCTCCACGACGTCCTCCACGCCCTCCTCGCCGGCGCCCCCCCTGCCTCCCAGCGCCACGCCGCCTTCCCCCCTGCACCCTTCCCCTCAGTGCACGAGGCAGCAGAAGGCCTTCAACCTGCCAGGTACCTCCACGCTCGGGGAGGCGGGGGGGTTGGGCTCGTGCCAGGGTCATTGGGGAGCATGCCCAAAGGCGCAGGGTTGAAGGCATGTGGCTTGAGTCTTCTAGGCAGGACAGTTGCCACATATTATGACCTCACTTGATCTTTAGAGTAGCCATGAGGTATTATGAGCTCCATTTGACAGGTGAGGAAACTGAAGCTCCGAGAAGCAAAGGGACCTCCCTCTGTTGGTCAGCAGCAAGCCAGTGTCCCCACCTAAGTCTAAGTCACAGAGGGAGCTGGCAGTCGTCTTATGAGCTAAGTCCGTTGAAATTGGCAGGAGGAGCCTGGGCCCAGGATCTCAGGGGCCACATGCCTGAGGGGCTGCATGCTGAGTCTTACCCCCGACGTCAGGATAGGGCTCTGGATGAGCAGGCTGGAGTTCTGGACTCAGTACCCTCTATCACGTCCCTGCCACGTGACCTCCGACTTCAGCTTTCTCACCTCTGAAAGGATATAGGTCGGGGAGGCCAGGACCCCGAGGATTCTTCTAGCTCACGAATTCCCACTTGAGTTCATGCACTGCCCAGGGCTGCAGATTTTTTCCTCAAGTTGTCTCCTGGCCCTCCGACTGCATCCATCCATTTATTTCCTTGACACATATTTATTGAGCATCTACTATGTACCAGGTACTGTACAAGGCACCATGTACGGAGAGGTATACAGAGCAGGCACACTCTGTGTGAGTTTCCCATTGCGGCTGTAACACTACCACAAATTTAGTGGCTTAAAACAGCACAAATCTATTATCTTATAGTTCTAGAGGTCACAAGTCCAAAATTCGTGTCACTGGGCTGAAAATCGAGGCGTTGGCAAGGCTGGTTTCTTTGAGAGGTTCCAGGGGGAGAATCCATTTCCTTGTCTGACAGCTCCTCGTGGCTGCCAGCATTCCTTGGCTGGTGGCCCCGCACCACTCCAGCCTCTGCTTCCGTTACCACATCTCCGTTTCTGACTCTCTGATTCTGATCCTCCGGCCTCCCTCTCCTGAGGACCCCTGTGATTGCATTTAGGATGTACCCAGAGAATCTAGCGTAGTCTCCCCATCTCAAGATCCTCAATTTAGTCACGGTTTCCAGGGATTAGGACATGGGAGGGTGGGGATTATCCTGCCTTGCACACAGTCTCTGTTCTCATGGAGTTTGTAGCTTAGTGGGAGAGACGGGGTGAACCGAGCAAACACACACGCACACAAATGAAGGGAAAGAACAGTGCTGTGAGCAAGTTCAAGAAGAAAGCGAGTTCAAGCCGAAATGTCAGAGGCAGGTGAGTTCCGAAGACGGGGGAGAGTTGTCCAGGCGGGGAGAGGGGAGCACGTGCAAAGGCCCCGCCACGGGAAGGAGCTGAAAAATCGTCCTAATGGCCCGAGTGCCACAAACAAGGGGAAATTACACCAGGTGAGACAGAGCTGCAGGGTTGAGGCCTGGCTTGGCCTTGTAGAGTGTGACGGGAATTTAGATTATTTTTAAAATATGTTTTTATTGATTTTTAGAGGGAGAGGGAGGGAGATAGAAATATTGATGAAAGAGAAAGATCGATTAGCTGCCTCCTGCACTCCCCTACTGGGGGATCAAGCCTGCAACCCTGGCATGTGCCCTGACCAGGAATCAAACCGGTGACCTCGTGATGCATGGGACAACGCTCAACCCACTGAGCCACGCCGGCCCAGAGGGAATTTAGGTTTTATTTAAGACACAGTGGGAGGCCACTGAAAGGTTGCCGCAGGGGATGACTTCATTCTTCTTCCTTCTAGATCCTTCCTTTCAGAAGGCCACTCAGGCTACTGTCTGGGGAAGCCTTAGGGAGGGAGTGGTGGGGACTCCAGAGTGGAAATGCCTTCACCGTGGCCTCCTGGCCTCTCTGCCATCTGGTCACCTGAAGCCTCTTAGTCTTCACAGCCTCTTGATGCCAGAGACCCAGGAGCCACTCAGTCCCCCAAGCAGGCCACTCGGGTTCACCAGCTGCCCCTTGGAGCCACTTCTATTACCAGCAAGAACAGGGCTCCCAGTGCCGCCGTTCCTTCTCTTGCCACTCCCTCCCTGTCAGTCACCGGCACAGCTGTTCCCTGCACCGGGAAAGGTCGAGGAGGGGTTGACTCTGAGCATGCAGGCATTTGAGGGGTGTCCCATTGCCCAACACCTGTCCCTCCTCAGAGCAGGGCTCCCATCCATTGCCCGGCCCTCCTCCCGAAAAGGCCGTAACTGCCAGATAACCTCTCTGCGGACACTGAATCCCCCAGCCCAGCCGGGGAGGGAAGAGATCAGCTAAGCCTATGGAGAACCTCGGGTACTTCTTTGTTTAATTTTAGCCCCTTGTTGACAACGAAATGTCCACCTGCAGTTAAACAACAACAAAAACAGAAAACCAAACCAAACCTAGGTTACCTAACAGAAGGAAGGTCCCAGAAATCAAGGAGGTTGGGTTTTCTTTTAAAGCTTTGCTCTGTGACCTTGAATGAGCTGCTTCCCATCCCGGGCACTTTGTTTTCCAGATGCAAAAATGCATCCATTTGGATTCCATCCACCTGGAATTTGGGGATTTGTGGCCTCCAGAACTGTAAGGCAATAAACCTGTGTTGTTTTAAGCCACCATGTTTGTGGTAACTTGTTACAGCAGCAGCAAGAAAACTAATACAATGCTCAATGCAGAGAATTTGGAAAACACAAGAAACTCATAGTTGCTTTTTTTAAACTCACTGTAATCACTCTGCCAGAAGGGAAGAAAATTAATATTTCAGATTATGGTTCTACAGACTTCCCTCTGGGCGTGTTCTTGTGCATTTACCGAAACTGGGACTGTGCTCAGGATGCCGCTCGGAGTTGGGGCGCTCTGTATTTAGACAGCGTCGGATGAGAGGGTTGGCTTGGGCGTTCAGAGCTCTGGTTTCTTTACATCTGTTCTCAGTCCCTTGGAATTCAGGTGTCTGCAGAAGCCTGGAAACCCTCGAGGGTGGGCAGAGAACCCTCGCAGCTGTGGGATCCCCATTGGGTACCCGAAGGGACAGCCCCAGGGCAGCGCTCACTCTGGTGTCTTCTTTCTTTTCCCAGCGTCCCACTACTACAAATACAAGCAGCAGTTCATCTTCCCAGGTGAGTGTCCTGTGAGCTCAGCCCCTTTCTGAGTGGACTGAGCGGAGGTGAATGCTGGGGTGGACATGCTCAAAGAGGGTGATGGCGGGATCACCAGACCCCAGGATGATGGTCTGAGAGGGTGGTCTGCACTGGAAGGATGGGCCAGGGTAGGAGAGGTCCAGAGCCACATGGGAGGGGAGAGATGGTCAGAGGGGCTTGCATTGGGCACCGAGAGACGTGAAACTAGGTGGCCTCACCATCCCACAGGGAATCAAGAGGAGGATTCGGAGATGAGCAGAGGCCTGGGGCTCTGGCAGCCCCCTAGGTAATCGTAGGGAGCTTTGGCCCAGGTGCTGCCTGGACCACTGGTACATCTAAGCAGGTAAAGTTCAAGTGGTCGAGGAAGGGAGAGGGGCCTGGCCAGCCCCAGGGACCCATGATCTGGTGAGAAGTTACCGGCTACCAGCATGTTCCTGGAATCGGGCTTTCGGGGTGGTGTGGACTCCACGTTTGGTTCCTGACTGTCTAATCTCTGCCATCAGATGTGGTGCCAGTGCTGGAGACACCGACCCGGGCGCCCCAGGTCGTTCTGCATCCAGTGACCTCGAATCCCATGTAAGTGGAACAGAGGCCCCCTCCTCTGCCCCGGCCCTGCAGTCCACTCGGGGTCCCTCTGTCTTCCTCTTACTGGAATTGATGTGCCGGGAGGCAGGGGGAGAATTCAGAGAGGGATGGAGAGACATGGGGATGAGTCGGGCAAAGAGAGGCAACTCTGGTCCCCCCGGGTCGGCTCTGCCTTGTGTCCCTGGCCCTGTCTGTCACGTGTGGTTGCCAGGGGCCCCTAGACCGTCCTGTGATCAGAAAGACAAGGTACAGGCGATAGCCAGAGCTCAATGGAAGGGCAGTTCCTCTATGTCATTGTCCCCCTTTTATAAGCAATAATTTAGGTCTATACCTGGGATCAGCAAATTACAGCCTCTGGGACGAATCCAACCTGCCGCATGTTTTTATCAATAAAGTTTTATTGGAATACAGCCACGCCGATTTGTTTACAACGTGCCATCTAGGGCGGCTTTCAGACTCCAACAGCAGAGTTGAGCAATTGCAACAGAGACCATATGGCCCGCAAAGTCTAAAATATTTACCATCTGGCCCTTTACAGAACAAGTTTGCTGACCTCTGGTTTATACCATGATGAAAATAATATAAGCTAATTTTGGAAAATTTGGGCTATTCTGTAAAAAAAAAAAAAAGAAAGGAAGAGGTTCACAAGTAATCACACCGCTCTTAGATGTGTGCTCTTTCTAGTCGTAGCGGATATACGTGTGATCCACGATATACAGTTTCTGTCCTACTTTTCATTCGCGAATGCGATGGCATCACGTTTTTCATATTATTCCAGACTCTTCATACTCAGTGTTTTTAACCGCTGTAGGATATTGTGTCANTAATCACACCGCTCTTAGATGTGTGCTCTTTCTAGTCGTAGCAGATATACGTGTGATCCACGATATACACAGTTTCTGTCCTACTTTTCATTCGCGAATGCGATGGCATCACGTTTTTCATATTATTCCAGACTCTTCATACTCAGTGTTTTTAACCGCTGTAGGATATTGTGTCAATGTGGAATGATTTCCTTCCCCGTTTCCTGATTGCTGGCTCTAAACAACACCGCAAGGAACATCTTTGCATGGGGACATCTTTAGCCTCCTGAGGGTGGTCTGTGGCTGGTGCAGCCAAAGTGAAGTCACCTTCCTTAACTTCTTTGGTTGTGACCAAAGTCCGGGGCATGCCGGGGACCTGGTTTCGATTTGACGGGTTTCCCAGCTCACATTCTGCCTCCTTGGGTTTTCTCTGTCTCTGGTGCCAGCTGCTCCATTTTTTCTGACCCGTGCTATGGACTTTGTTAAGGACCCAAACGGTCCATCTCTGAAATCAAAGAAGCAGCAGTTGGCCGGGGGGTATTGTGCTGACACGTAGCTCGGGATCATTTCTCTGCCGTAAACCAATTCCCCAATTTGTGCAGGACGGACTCCAGGTTATTAACTGACAGTCAGGGAGTGCCAGCGAAAAAACAGAGTTAATAAGTGCCCGCAATCTGCTTGAATGTGCGTGGAGGGATGGGAACGAACTCTTCACGGAGGGGAAATAATTGAATAGCCCCGGCCGTTGCCACCACACCGCGGTGTGGGCAGAGAAAGGCCCCGTTTTGCGGGGTGTGAGGAGGGATCCCAGCCGCACTGTCCCCCCCAGGCCTCCCCCCCAGGCCCTCGAATTCCCAGCATGTCAGCTGTCACTGTGCGGTTTCATTCCGCCTTCCCAACCTGAACCATGAATAATTGGTTGATGTGACAGCAAATGCCACTTTGTGACGCCCCTTCTTTCTCGGTCTGGTTCTTACGCTCTTTCAGCTCCTCTCACCAGGAGCCCCCGGCAAGCGGATTGACTCCGTCCGCGGGGTCAGCAGCTTCCCGGGGCCCCTCGGACAGGGATGAACTCAACCCGCGGGCCCACATTTGCGCCTGAGGGTCACATTTATTTGTCTTTCTTTAAAGCTTGGAAGGAAACCCATTACTTCAAATTGAAGTGGAGCCGACCTCAGAGGTGAGAACTGGAGACGGGTGAAGCAACTTTATCCAGGGGCTTCGGGGGGGACCGGCGGGACCGCGTGGGAAGGCGGGGGGGACCGCAGTGCAGACACAGCCATGACCTCTCTGCCC